TGAATTAAAAAAGATTAATGAGTGATTGCCCTTTTTTTAGTGGATATTTTTTAGATTAAGCCTCTCCAATATTATAACTGGAGAAATATGCACATGCCCTACCTGGAAGGCAATCACAAACACAGAGAACAGCACAGAGTGTTTGTTTTATGCTCCTAATGTTTCATTAGATGTTTGCTGGTTATGAATTATCTATCAGCTCAAACATAACTGTTAATTCTGGTTGCTGCTTGAATCACTTCCCTGAATTTGAACGAAACACTGCCCTGGAAAAGGGGAAGAGAGGAAAAGGGACTGCTCCATGGTATCTTTTCAGTACATAAAATAAAGCCTTTTAAAATAGAGTAGAGATTTTAAATACAGTGGTAATTGATTAGCAGAAGGGATGGAGAAGAAAATGTGGTTTCTCAGTGCTGTCTCAGACAAAAGGAGCTGTAACCCCTCACATCAGCCTGGCTCAGCCCCTCTCCAGCTCCAAGCTGGGCAGAATCAGCTTCCAAGTGTTGTCCCTGGGGGATTTTCATGCATCTTTATCTCACTCATGAGTTATACCTTTGGCAGTCTCATTTTCAAAGTTGGAAAAGTGGTTCTGCTGTTGATTCAATAACCTGCATAAATTGATATTTGAATATGACATGGATTCCTTAAAGACTAAAACCTGTGAAGTTCTATTAAAAGCCAAATGGGCAATGCAGGGTTATTGCAGGAGGCAAGCCTGGCTTTCCAATGTCAAGAGACATAAAATAAATAAATAAAAAGAAGATAGATGGTGTTGTTTTTCATCAGTTATTCAAATGCAGGATGTTTTAAACAATTTGAGTCGGTACTGATGAATCTCACATTATCACAACCTCACCAGCAGAGTCTAAAAAATTGTATTTGAACTCTTTCATTGAAAGTTTCTATTTGGCAGAACAAAGTAATTGTTTGTCTCAAGCACAAAAATGCTGCTGAGAAGAAAGTGAAGCTGGTTTGGAATCTGCCAACTTAGGAATTCTTCTCCTCTGGATTCCATTTTATCTGAACCACGTTACTTTTTACATGGCTACATAATTTGGATCACAGCGTTTCTGAAGTTATTTAATGGCAAGAGTTCTCATGAAAAAAATCCCAACTTGCTGCCTTGTCACACCACTGCTGTTCACAAGAGGTAATTATGAAAAGGAGGATAATCTGCCAATCACAAGGGGGTTTTATAAGCTATGCCTTTTCCCACTGATTTTAATATAATAGATATTTGCCTTTCTAAAATTAGGATTTTTTCTTCCAGAGGAATTAATGCTTGATAATAACTGGTGTGATTTTTTTTTTCTCCTCTCTAGTGTTCATAATGGCTTCTGGGCTTTTGGTTTACCCTTTTGGTTTCAACTCTGCTACTGTGAAGAGATTCTGTGAGAACTCAGACATCTACTATGCAGGAGACTGCCAGATTGGATGGGGGTACATGCTGGCAATTGTTGGGGTCATGTTGTCTGTCTTTTTACCATTCTTTGCAAAATATGCACCAAAAGAGCACATATCTCCAACTCCAATACCTACTATTTTATAGTATTTTATTACTGTTTAAGAACAGAACATTCCTGTCTACACTAAGGGGCAGAAATTCTTGAAGCACTTCCAGTTGGCTGTGTTGCTAAAGAGAGGAGAGGAGATGGGGAAGAGAAGGTCACATTGACAAAGACCAAAAGTGCATTGAAAGTCTTCCGTAAGCACGAGCAGCGAACGCTCTGGAATTGAAATAGGATTAATCAGCAGCCTTCACACTGCTCTAAACACATCATGGCATCCTGCCTTAGACAAAAAAAGAATCAGTTTATCCTCAAAACATCTGTCTACCTCCCAGTTTCTTTTGTGTCTCAAAATTGTGAGTTTTAAAAGCTTCAATTCACTTTTGATATATTGTGAAATGGCAGAACTTTTATGAACCCAGTAATTTTAAAATCAATAATGATATTTTGTTACAATTATTTTGATTAGTGAAAAAGCACCTACAAGTAGCCACAGCCTAAAATTAAGATTGATAGCTAAAAAAACTGTATTCAAGAAAAGTTTCTTTTTAATCTATATATATTAGCAGCACCTGTATATTGTAAATTCTGGGCACAGTTTTTACTTCTGCTCCAATTGCCAAGATATAGAAACATCTTCATGAAGTCCTGGGTAAAATTGACATTTCTTTTTTTCTGAGAACTTCAACTACTTCCAAAGGCTTCATGATGATTTAACACTTGAACAACAGGAAAAAAATCCCTAAGAATTTGTTCTCAGTATTTCCTAAATTATAATTCTAAGTGGACTTTAACAAAATGTTTTGAACTATGACAGCTATAGACTTTGGGTTTTGTTGTTAAAGGCTGAAAAGAAAAAAATCTCAGTTTACAAAAATGTCTGTGCCCAAAGGCCCTTATCTGTAGTGATAATACAAGCCAGAATGAACTAATTCCAGTATTTCCATTGCAATTGAGAGTCCAGATTGTAAAACAAAAAAGTGAAGTGAAATGCTATTGAACATGACCAGCAAAAATCTGCTGCTGTGTCAGAAGTACAAATGGCCATATTTCATTAGTCTGTATGGAATTTTGTGAGCTCTGATTTCCACAATAGCACTGAATTCATTATCAAGCATTGAAATAAGTGCACTTGATTGCCTTAAGCAAAAGAAACATTGGGTTCTAATCTCACACCACTGTTGTGTTTTTTCATTTAAAATAAAATTTTAATTCTAATTCTATTCTCATCTTTTATTTTCTATTATTTATTAAAAAGAAAAACCACATAGATTATATTTAATTCAGAGGTGTACTTCTTAGTTTTGTATTTTGGCACAAACCAGGTGATCAAATTTATTATTCTTCACTTAGCTGAGTCCAACTGATTCCTGAATTTTTATTTTTTTTAATGGAAGGTGTACATGAAGGGACAGACAGAGACATGTTGAGGATGTATAAGAAAATGCAAACAGAACAATCACTGTGTTATTTTAATATACATCAAAGACTTCTGCAGTCTTGTTTACATTCCTCACCCTTCTAAACTTCAATGGAACATTGCACTGTTTTCCAAAATAATTGTCCTGTTCTTAGATTTCCATGCACTCCAAAAGCAATTTCTGCACAGAAACTTAGCAAGTTCTTAGAAAATGCAGATTCCAATGCAGAATTAAGTACACTGAGAAAGAGAGCAGGAGTGCTCTGAGCCTCTGCTCACAGGGACTGAGAAATTAAATCTTCCACATATTTAACAAAATAGGCTGAAGAAATGCCCTAAAGTAAGAAGAATAAATTTCAGTCACTTCTGTATATTAATGTGCTTTTCAGTGATGTCTTACACTTTTTTTAATGAATGGCTGAGATTGCTAATTTTCATGTGAGAGTCAGAAAAGTGAGGAATAACAAACAACGTGCAAAAAGAAAAGAATCACCACATAGTAGAAAGACAGAGATGCAGGCTTTTCTTTCCTAACCAACCTGTGCCTTTACACTAGAACCATTATACAAGACAGGATCAATATGGTCAAGAAAAAAAATCACCCAACAACTGAAAAATGTTGAGTAGTGTGTATAAACTGTATTGAGTAGGGTTTTTTCTGTTTTGTGTAATGTTTACGACTGTTCACTTAATGTTTCACTAGAAAAAGTGATTTGTTAGTGTCAAATAGAAACTTCTTTTGCAAAGATCTAAACACTTCCTGAAAAGAAAAATTAATTTAGATTTTTATTAACAGCCATAACATACCTAGTAGACAAAGGACCTATTCCTGTCATTTCTTATTAACCTAAGTTTCACATGTGCAAAACTGGAAGCATCAATCACTTAACTGGAAGCAGTTTTAAATTACTGTTACAGCAGTCTCACAATTCACAACACTGCTGTATGAATTCCTTTACTTCTTAAAGCTCAACTTCTCTTGTGCAAATCATCAACCTCTGCATCCTGCAAAATTCTGCACCTTTTATGAGTCAAGCTAATGCTTCCATTAGGAGCTTCCTTTAACATTTTATAACATTTTTATAATATTTAAATAAATCAAACACGTGTACATGACCTCTGCAACTGGCAAAACCCTCCCTGAAGCACCCATGCTCTGAGCCCACCTCACACTGAAGGTGTGGTGATAATTCCAGTGATCCCTGCAGCAGTTGGTAAAGCACATCCTTCAGATCTCACCTGCTGCTGGCACTGCCTGTGCTCACACTGACAGATCACTTTTTAAAATAAAGACTGTCTGCGCGTTAAACTGTGTAAAAGCGTTTTCCTGTTACAATTTTCCTGTTACTGGACCAGGTTCAAGTTTTATTCTAAATATATAATTTTTTAAGTGTAACTAAAAGCTGTATTTTCCATTAATGTGTTTCTGCGTTGACTAGCTGGCTCCTTTTTAGAATATTAACTGTTTTCTGTATTTGACTTGTTGGATACAATATTTCAATTATTTTAAATGTGAAATTTCCAATTGCCAACACTGTATAATAAAATAATAAAAAAAATCCCCATACTGTTTGCTGTTTTCTTGACAACTCTTTTGTTTTGCAATTCCCAAGAGATCTGCTACAAAGCCCGAAGTAGAGGAAAGGGAAATAGGAACAGCAGGAATAACCTATGAAAGGTAATGTTTGAAGGCAAAGGCACATAAACACGTACATGGCCCATCTGTCATGAAAGACATTTCCAATGCAAAGGCAAGGAAGTTCTGTGTTCTAATAATTCCTTCCTTTCTACTTCCTCTGTGTCCTTGGGAATCTTCCTACAGCCTCAGGGTCTGTTGTTATTTTATACAGGTATTATACTGATAATTCTTTTTTTCCAAAAAACATCAGTCAGGTAACACATAAATGGGAACTCAATGAACACAACACAGCATTTGCTGGATAACACAGCACAGTGATATTTTCAAATGTTTAACCAGATTTTCCCTGGTAATTTTGGTAAATGTTGTAGCATGTCCAGCCTTTATGGGCAACAATTAGTTAAAACTGGGGTTTGGCCAACCATTTTGACTTTTACATTTCATTCATAGTTTTTACATATGCTGTCATCTCAACATCTGCAACTTTAACAAAGTCTTGGAAAGTGTTCTGTTCTTGAGCAGTTGCTGGTCTTACAGAGACGCACTTGAAAATGTTCTTTTTTGCATCATAGGTTCCCATGCACCTGTGCACTCGACCTCTAATGAGTCGTGGAAGCTCACGGTCCTTCATCAAAGCACAATAAACACACAAAACAATTACATCACCTCACATAAAAGCTCTCCACATGGCTGCTTCTGAGGGCTACATCAAACAGAAAACCTCTACATCACCTTTGTTCCTGTCATCAGCTACTTAAAAACTAAACTCAAAGTCTCACCTGTTTTTCTGAAACAGAAGTCTGAGGATGTCTAAGTAGTGACTATTGCTCTAAATTGGGAACAATATGATAAAAACATTCAGCCTGTCTTTTGCACTGTGAATTTATGTTTTCTTTGAAAAGGATTGGAGCCAGTGGTGACTGTGTTATGTGTGGACACAGAATACTCACAATTTCATAAAACACACAAGGCAGGGTCTCCTTTCCATCTCTCAGAAGAAAGTTCTTTGCTCCATATGCTCCAGGTGTGACTGCAGAATCCAGCGTGCCTGTCCCATTAAGCAAAAATTAATCATTCCAGGACTAATTATTTTTAAAAATATTGTAAAACTGTATCACTGTACAGAAGATTCCTGCTAAACAGGAAATTAACATGTTCTAAAAACAAGGAAAGAAACAAGATTTGGTGTTGGAGGATGACTGAAGTGTAAATTTTATACCTATTCCAGTCACCTTTGACAGCTGAATGGAAGGGAAATTAGATGGTGTTCATGCCAGTATTTCGTGGGTTTAAGTATTTCAGCCATTGAAAAACTCTCACTTTTTGTTGCCCTAGCATTATTATCAGATTATATTATTATAATCTATGATGCTTACCTAAAACTTCAAACAGCAGTGCAGTTTTGTAGGCATACTGGCTCCAGTGCCTCACACTCTGAATGACTGCAGACAGGATTCGCAAAGAATTCTTTTTTATTTTAGTTTTCACTTGAGATGATGAAATTTCCTTTCAGATGAAGACAAAAGTTTAAGTTAGATATGCACACTTGCAATTTCAAAGGGCACGTAGGCATTTATTATTTATTTATTATTTTAAATATGCAATAATTATATTAAAATTAGGGCATTTGTTCAGAATATACAAACAACTACCTGCCTAAAACCTGAGGGTTTTAGATTATTACAGTATGAAAATTCTAAATTTCAAATTCTCAATTCTAAATTTCCAGAAGCTCCAGGTTTTACTAAGGGCTGATGAAAACCTCATCATCTTCCACCAGTTTTCTTTCTTTACTGCTTTCTTCATTGTGTCTTTCCTATTAACCCTACCCATAAGTTTTACCTGACTTTTATCTTCTGGGACACAACCAAATTGGTTTTCATTAATTTTATTTTGCTGAGTTTTGTAGTTAAATTTATATGCTGGACCCTGATCCTGCAGACTTCTTGCCACAGTGTTGGGTTTCACTGGCCACTTTCCTTTGGATGTGTCTGTTTTGATGAGCTGGGATGGGTTACGACTGTCAGGGTGGTTTTGCTGCTGGACAGTTTTCAAACTGCTTGGAAAGTTCTCAAACTTCTGAGAAGTTCCATTATCAGATCTTGAACTTGCTGTTTTACCTAAAGGAGTATATTCACTTCTGTTCCTGCAATACAACAGTTCAGTGTCACAGTACCTCTTCTCAATACTGAGCTATGTGATTAAAGTATATAAAAGCAATCCATAAATTGTTGATTTAGCTTTAAATATCTCCAAACTCACTTGAGTTTACACCAAATTTATCCATATACAGGGCAGTGATTACACCTGTGCATAAATCCATCTGAGTTCAACAGGCCTTAAAACCCTGCTCAGTTACTGTCCTGTCCTGGGTAAGGGATCTTTCCTGACACAAAATTCACATATTTTCATAACTCTAAAATAAAACAAACAAGGTTTCCTCTGAGTGTGAGATTAAAAGGGTTGCTTTAACTGCTACAGGCATATGGGAAAATGTGAGATGCATTTTCACATAAGAACAAAAAGGAAGGGTAATAGACATTAAAGGCTTCACCAACCTGCAGGCAGACACGTTTTTTCCAGCATTTGCTAAATGAAACTTTGATGCATTTGGTGCTTTCATACGGGAAGGAGCCATCGGATGTTCTGCTTGGCTTTCAAAGATAAGGTTAAAGTATCAGTGACACAGCAGCAGCTTTATTGTAACACACACATGGATTGTTCAGGAAACAACATCCAAATAAAAATAAAAAAAGCAACGAATGACTTGCTTTTTACATACCCACTGTTTGCTGCCTTCTGCAGTTCATCCACTTCTGGGTTTGCAGCTCCCCAGCCTAATTTTCAAAAGACAAAGGATGGAATATTGATAAAAACGGAAAAGACTGAAAAGTTGTAAATCTTTGTAGGCCTCCAACTCTGCTTAATCTCCCACAAACAGGCTCACATAGGAAGGAGGAAGAAAAAAGAAATAAGGGGAATGTGATCCTTTGATATTTGTAATTATAAGACAACTTCTAACAAGTAGGTTGCTTTTCTAGACAATAGTTCAGTTACAAACATTAGACTTACTAGCAACGGAGATTTTATTATTATAAGAAAACCTTGAAACTTTATTACAAGTAAAACATAATGAAAGCACTAAAAGCAGAGTTCTGCACGGTTCCTTCCAAGCCCAATTTGAAGAACAGAAGTTCCTTTCTGAACAACAAGAATGACATCTTACAAATGTTTCTTCTTGTAACACAGGACTTGAATGTTGATTGAAATCAACTGCAAACAAAAGGTCAGTTTCAAGAGACTCTATTTAAATGCCAGTGCTACTTCATTCTCCATCACACAAAGAGTCAAACTCCCTCTAGGCAAGAAGTATAAAAAGCTCAATTGTACAGAGGAGAAAGAAATTTCCTGGAGGACAATTTTTACATAATGAACTTTTCAGAAATAGATATAAAGGATGCATATAGTGCTTGATAAAGACAACGTCTGATTGCACAGAGTACGATCAGTAAGTTAAGATTTATTTGGATTTAGAGGCAGTAAAAAAAAATAAAATTTGTCTTATTTACCAAATGATGAGGGAGAGAAGTCATAACTATGAGTCCCAGAACCAGTGTCAGGTTCATTTTTAAGTGGATTTGAAGTGAGAGGCTGTCTAGTTCTTTTTTTCTGATTGAACAGTGGTACAGGCAGACAACCTAAAATTAAAATTTAAGTAATGCTATATTAATAGCAAAATTATACACAACCCACACTTAAGTAAATAATTCTTCATTACTTTACATTACAAATAGGAATTACGTTTCATAAACACATAAAAGGCCATTCCCACACAGAATTTATGTTCCTAGCCCTCTGTCCTGCACATAATCCCCTCAATGAAACCTTTCCCTCAGTAACCAGTTCCCTGAATCCATCTAAAATCTCGCTCTGTGCTGCAATAAACAAGTAACCCATGCAAGTCAACTTAGGAAATGGGGATTTAGGGCTAAATACTGATATCCTCTATGAATACTACATACATAAATGTATTTTATGTCTCTATAAAAGCATAATGAGGTGTGAACAGGAGGGCACAAAAGAAGGACTGGTACCTGCTGTGCTCCGAGCCGGTGTGTCTGCTAAACTCCTTTTCATTTCTTTGCTAAATCTTAACAGGCAGCAATGGACTGATTTTTCCAAATTTGCTGTATGGAAGTCGGATAAACAAAGCAAAATAATTAGTGCTGCAAACACATCCAAATTTCACATGATTTTATGGCAGCTCCTCTTAACACTGCAGCACCAGTGATTGGCATAATTTCAAACACAAGCCCTAAAACACAGAACCAGCTGTATTGAATTTAGAAGATCCACAGGTGCACGCCTAAGATGCAACTGCTCTGAGTGGGGCTGAGGGTCAGGGCCATGTTGAGAGTCAGCACTTACCAGGCTGAGGGAGAGACCTCCGGGACTGGGTTGAGGGTAACCCCGAGGGACGGGGCTGAGGGTCGGGCCATGTTGAGAGTAAGCGCTTACCGGGCTGAGGGACGAGGCTGAGGGCCAGTCCTGAAGGTCAGCGCTAAGGGTCAGCCCTGACGGTTCAGCCCTGAGGGACGAGGGACGGGGCTGAGGGTCAGCCCTCAGGGTCAGACCTGACGGTTCAGCCCTGACGGTTCAGCTGTGAGGGACGAGGCTGAGGGTCAGCCCTGACGGTTCAGCCCTGAGGGACGGGGCTGAGGGTCAGCCCTCAGGCAAAGCCCGCCAAAAATAACGGTCACTGGTCCGCGCGCTCGCGCCTCAGGCGGTGCGGAAATGGCGGGAAGGCGAAGCTCCGTTCCCAGCCGCTGAGGGCACGGCGGGAGCGGCCGTGCCCGGCCGGGAGACACAAGAACCCTTTAATCAACCCCCGGTGGGATTTCATTAATTACCCCCGCCCCCGAGGAACCGGTGTAGTGTCATCCTCAGAAAGCTCGGGGTAGGAGCTGAGTCTGCAGAAGTGTGTGAACACAAAAGTGGCTGTAAATAAAAGTAAAAGCATTCTTCACCCTGTTTGTCTCTTCAGCTTTTACACATGGCTGAATCCTGTCTAAACTCTGAGTGCTTGGCACGACTGGCTCTTGTCCTGTTTTAATAAACCTTTTCCTTCTGAAGCACTCCCAAATATCTGTATGTAGAACATCAAACCAATCTGGATTCTTACTAAACTAAATATCCCACTCCTTTTTAAGAGTGTGAGTATTGGCAAAGCACAGGAATAAGGGATGGGTCCCAGTGTTTAACCCTGAAGAGTGAAAACTTTCCATGTGAATTTCCATTCATACCCAAATGGGCAGGTCCTGGGACACCAGGAGTTAAAGTGTTTGGATGGGAACTGCTCTAAGGGGATAAAAGAAGCTTCCACGGGTTTAGTTCCTAAACTCATGTTTGGAAATTCACTGTCTCTGTCCTAAAAACTCTCTTAGGAGACAAACTTCTTGCATGTTAATTAAGTGCACAGACATCTCTGTGTTTCATTCAGTGCTTTGGAAGGAATTACAACCATTACAATGCCAGCAGGAATAAAAGATAAACTAAATGTTCCAGCCCTGCATGTTTGCATTTTGCTGTTTACTCTTCAAACTTGTGCTGTGTTTAAATTCAACAAACCCAGATTCAGAGTGTGTGAGTTGTGTTTTTGGGTGTTGTCACTCCCCATTCTGGCACCACTGCTGAAGAGAGATAGGGGTCAAAGGACAGTGCACACTGTCCAGTGCTGTAAAATGCAACTTTACTGCTTTGTTTAATAAATTACTCTTTCTGATTAAATATCTGACAGCTCCTAAGTACAGAGCAATACAGTTGAATATTTAAGCAAACAGTCTCTCTGTATTAACTCACTGTAAGCTTCAGCAAAATCTGAATGCATGAACCGAAACATAGAGAGCAACTTCTGTAGAAATTATATTCCTGGCAGAACTATTCTAGATAAATCCTGTGCTCAGCTTTTTCTAGACCTACAGTCTGTCAGCCTGGGATATAAAGCCTTTCAGCCAAATATTCTCTCAGTCACTGGAGTATAATTCTAATAAAAAGGAATTGTTCAATAAACATTCTTTATTCTCTTGCAATCTAATATTTGTTATGTTTATATCATGAGTCAGTTGCAAATACTTCTGTCGTTTACAGCAATAAAGCTTATTTTTCTGTTAATAAGTCCTTTTATTCTAAATGTTTTGATTCTCAGGATGGAAGTTATAGCTGGTCTTTGGCTTAAGCTTCAGAAGCCTTTCTGAATGCTTTTGGAAATGGAAGAAAAGTTGCTGACTAAAGTTTTTTGGGGAAGAGAACAGAGCTATTGTCCCATTGTGGTCTAGATCTGTTTCCTTTTTAATAAAAGACTGCAAAAGTTAGAGGGTTGTCCCTGGCACAGTTGTTTCAATGTGTTAGAGGTCTGTGTTAGCAGATCCCGAGGTAGAACTGGAGCCAGAACTCTGGGTAAGTCAGTCGTGGATAAATTGCACTGTAATTTCAGCTCATGTTCCTTCTAATCACTGTTTGTAGGATTTCTAAAACAAAAAAGGTCGTACAAGCCACGACATGCATTGAGGAACTTAGCTGTTCTTTGGCTTTTTTTAGATGAAAATACTTGATGTTTCAGCATTGTGTGCTGGACTAGAGCCAAGATACAATTCTTATTTTCCTCACTTTAAATCAATCTGCCCTTATATAATATGATCCTTATGTAACTTCAAACATACATGAGAATACCTGTTACACCTACTTTGCAGTGCAAAAATGCCTGATATTTAAGTGTAAAACCAGTGTTTTCCACTGTTCATTAGCACAGGATTTCCCTATAGATCCTACATTATAAAGACTGCCCAGAGTTAACTTTTGGACTGTGGAACAGTGCCATTAACAGCCTCGGAGATGTTACTAAATACAGAAACCGAAGGGGAGGCTCCTTGGGGAGGGAGGCTGGAAAATCCCGCCTCAAAACTGAGTTGAGAACTGTTGGGAGAAATCCACTCGCTTTCTTTTGCGTCTGACCTAACCAGGAGAAAGACTCTCCTACTGGAAAGAATTTTATTACTTTTTTTTCCCTTCAGAGAGAAAAGTTTTGCTGGAGCATGAGCTGCCCGTGTGGCCGGGTGAGGCGGGTCGGGCTCTTCGGGGGCACTCACGGCAATGAATTATCGGGGGTGCTGCTGGTCAGGCACTGGCAGCAGGATGGAGCCGAGATCCAGAGGGCAGGAGTGCAGGTGAAACCATTCCTCACCAACCCCAGGGCTGTGGAGAGGTGCACCAGGTACATTGACTGTGATCTCAACCGCGTTTTTGACCCCGAGAGCCTTGGGTAAGAGCAGCTGTGCTTTCTGTTGTTCTGCTTTTTCTGGGGTTTTAAAATTCTTTCCTGATTAAAATGTTGAACACAAGTTCCCCTACTACTTTAACAGTGCAGTCACATAACTGAAATTACTGACCTTTAACCCAAAAAAAAGAACAAATTGCATGTGTTAACAGATTCACTCCTATTGCTGGTAGAATCAGTCTCAAACCAACACATTATCTTAAACATAAATTTAAATTAGCATTAGATGAGCTGCATTTGGGTGAATTGGAGTACCACTGTTCTGAGTCAGTCATCATTGCTCATGTCTTGTGCAATTCAGTTTGGGAGCTCTTCTGAATACAATTATATTTCCAAGAAATAGCAGATAAAAGCAATTAAACATGGACATCTGAGTATCTGAAAGAATGGCACAGAAATCAGAGAAGTGTGTTTAATTCCAGTTATATACAGCAAAAGGTGACAACTTAAAATTAGAAAAGCTTGAAGCTGGAAATAATCTATTCTAAGGCAAAAGCATAGCCAAAAGCCTGAATAATTTAACTGACTTGTTACTTTAAAATAAATAGTCTATAATTACTGTAAAATAGTAACTAATTTTACATTTTTAATAGGATTTAATGTTTCTGTGCTTTTGAGACATCTATTCCAGAGGTGTACTTTGCTATATAAACATTCTTAGTATAGTTGCTAACCAGGTAATTGTTTCAGAAAAGTTTTAATGGCAAAGGTGAATATCACAGAAAGGAATACTTACTGTATATACTTTGCAGGTAGTTATTCTTACCTTACACTTCTTTCCATCTGGCTTTTCATTTTAGGTTTTTGTTGTTGATTGTTACATCTAAGATAAGCAGATGTTAGCACATAATTATTGAGGCCATTCTAATAATTGTTTATTTTGGAAAAACATGCAGAAAAAAGGTAGTTTTGTTTGGTTTCAGCTGCTTTGAACACAGAACACTTGAAAAAACACAAGAATAAGACACCTGCAGGCTTCCTTCATATTTAGCTGCTATTTCTCAGTAAATACTATAAATTTGACTGGTCCTATTTCAGCTCTACTGAGTGTTTGAAGTACTTGACCCTGCTCCCTTAAGTGTAGAACCTTCAAAATAATAAATTATTTTACAAAATAAGAAAAAGGAGAATGAAATTTTAATGCTATTGAAAGCAATGGTGTAAATCTCATTAGCTTCAATAAAAACTATTAATTAACAGTTTTATGTGAAGAAATGTTGAATTTCAAAGGCAGAGCTAAAGAACAGAAAGGTGGATTATGTGATACACAGAGTCTCCTGAAATTACAAGGATTAAAACTTTGGAGGAACAGATTTGAAGCAGCAAAATCTTCACTGAGCTTTAAAGATCCTACAGGAATAGATTGTAAAAGTCTGGTCAGATCATGAGAAGACAAAAAATAGAACAGGTTAGAAAAAACAGTTTAGAAAAGCCTTGAGGGTGATGTCCAAGGCAAAACATCATGAACTGATGGCTGAATGTGGTCTCCAACAGAAGGGGATCCAGTCTTGGAAGTGCTCTATGTTTTTGCAAAATTTTTAGTTAAGTTTTATTATGCATAGGGGGAAATTTTGGGATGTAAGAAGACATATTTTCCAACCAAACATTGATTAAATAATTCTAATACCCTTCTGCACAAGACTCAGAATAATAAAACAATTACTAGACAATCATACTTGATTTCTTCAACAAATTCAGTCAATTTTAAGTTTGGTAATTAAACAGGTGATTTCAACTCCAGTCAGTTTTGGATTTAAAGTAAAAAGAAAAGGCTAATACATATTTTGTTGACTGTAAAGCCATG